TCGCTCCAGCAGTGTATTGATATTTGTAACATTGAGTCCTCGACCACCTATTAATACCAACAAATGAAACTCGCAACAGATGCAGAATTGCGTGCCGTTTCCGGAGGCGAAGCAGCGATGGCTACTAACGTGAGACAGGAGATCTGCAAATATTGCGCCACGCCGCCTCCGAGCACCCGCGAACAATGTCCGGCGTGGGGACGGAAATGCGCCAGATATGGAAAAAGGAACCACTTTGCTCGTCGTTCGTGACGAGTCCCCAGCGGATGGAGAACATTCAATTGGCGACGTGTCTCGGAGGGTACCACAAAAATGTGTCTACGTAAGTCTTTTGATCAAACGCAAAGCCGTACGATTCCAGTTGGACACAGGTGCCACTGTCAACATTCTACCAAGGAAGTACTCTTCCGGTGTGTGCATTCGATCCGATCAAGATTTCCTGTATATGTAGAATGGTTCCAGACTTCATCCGAAGGGCTCAGCTGCAATCGAAGTTCTTAACTCAAGAGACGGAGTCTCACGTCGACTGAAGTGTGTGATCGTGGAATAGGAGCTCACGCCAATTCTCGGCATTGATTCGATCCAGTCTCTCGCTTTTGTTGTTTTTATTCATGATCGTTTTGTGCATGTTTGCCAGGGAGAGACCGATATTAGTGACCAGTATCCGTCTTTGTTTAGCCCAGGTTTGGAAAGTTTGAGGGAACCGCTCACTTGTCCTTAGATCCTTTGATACGACCGGCAGCGCTACCGGCTGGGAGAGTTCCATTTGCACTGCGCGACAGGTTCGCCGCGAATTAACAATACCCTCATCAAAACGAGCAATTCAACGAAGGATCTGGGGCTACGTTATTCCAATACCCCTAATTTCACCGAAAATACGTTTTAATGTAGCCTGTTAGCCTGTCACAGAAGCCGGTACATCCACACTGCTGAAGCAAGAGTAGAACTCTACAGAATGTGCATTCATCAGCAAATGGAATATTGCATCTTCATATGAAACAGCTTAAGGATGTCTGACCGGATCTTGCTGGAAAAAGCTTAGAGGAGCATGACCAAGAGGCATCTTAATGGAACTCAGTTTATGACGTATACAGAGCGATGCATTCATCTCGAGGTTCGACTCCTTTTGGTTGAGGCGCGTGAACCTTTGGTTATAACATAAAATGGTTTACGAACGGGCATATAGTGCATTCTCACGTTTGCAGCTGAGTACCAGGTCAAAATTCAACCTACGAAATAAGCATAGTACGATTATACTCTTGAGAGCCGGAAAAAATCCGCGCACACGCTCCTTCCTGGTGTTTTGTATAAACCCTTAGAATAAATTACCTTCGATGCTTAGGGAATGCACGCATCCATTACAATTCCAGAGGGGTGTGTCAAATTTTTTTCTACATTGAAAACGTTAGGCGCTTGCGTGTGACTCAGAAGACAACTTTTTCAAGTCATTTCATTAACGTTCATGCCTCAATTATCTGAATTGAAATAACACAGATCTTACATATACTTGTATTGCCATAAGAAACCATTAATGAGTGCATCAATTTCTCACACATTTATTATAACTTAAGTCTATACATCAGCCCGCTGATTCAGATTTTAAGAATAAGCAAAGAAAAAATAAATTAGGAGAAATTAATAACATTATAATTAATTGGCAGGCACAAGTTGACTACTTGCTCGGTAGTTTGCGAGGAACTGTTTTGTAAGTGCATGCGAGACTCGCAATGTCGAAATGAAAAGAAATTTTATAGTCCATTACGACAGAAGAAAAAGTTGGCAAGAAAATTAATATCTAATAATCGTCACCGAAGGAAACTACCTGGGTGTGCCCAAGATGGATACAAAATGAATATACTACCAATCACAAAAAATCGAAAATTTTGTGCTCGCTTCTTGCAATGTAGTTTGATAATAGAATACACTCTAATACTTTTCTCCTGTTCTATTTTCATTTTTGTTGGGCAATCGTCGAATTAAATAATAGAGTGAATATGTGGATCCGTTCCTGAAGTAAAATATCATGTTTCGATTAAATATTGTTTCAGAAGACGTGACCTGTATGGCGACGATATGGACGTTGGCATTCCAAATGACCTCGTTTACCATGACTCTCTGATTTCACGCAATATTCCGCTTTTGAATTCCTATCATGCAATGTTTGCGTGACGTTGACGGCGTACGAACAAAAGCTTTGTACATTGCTGAGGTTGGTTGCCGAGCATTTATATTTCCACGCCCTATTTATTTTACAAATAGTTCCATTTTAAAAATTCTTGTACCTGTTGCGTATTTTGGTCGAACATGTTCACCTTCGTGTCTCGGCCAGTCGACATATGTACCATTTATTTATTCTTTCGTAGGTCACTTCAACTTCTTTAGTCACTGTGTACGTGAAGCTGTTGCTGTCCACCTTGCCAAGGCTCGCGTTGCTTCTCATTGTCTCAGTCATTTATGGATGTCACACCGAACATATGAAGGACTTGTCGTACCTTATTGCGCTCAGTGTTGCTATGTAACTCAACGACTGTGGTACTGCACACTGGGGACAAGGTAATTGACCCTTTTGTGACTACTGATAGCTGCAGAGTTTTACCAGTATCTATTGTGAGTGCTGAATGAGCATCGCCCACACTGATTCAATCATATTTTATAACCCATTGTGTCTGCTCTTATTGCTCACCTGTGTTTGTTCAAGTGGAAACCCGAAGAGTGCACTGAATAGCTTACAGAAGGAATGCGTTGGGTTGTTACGCATCATTTTCCCCGACGAGATCCTCGTAGTCACCCTGTCAGTGGCATTCTTGCATTTGAAAAGTGCGGTAAAAAGGCGAAAGCTGGTAGATGCATGCACTGCGTATTGTGGCCTCAGTACTTGAACCAATGCATGAATCTGCCAGTTTTCGTCTTCTTACTTTTGGACGTGTTCTTTTTCTCCTAACTTTTGCTCGCTTTAGCCTTGGGTCAAATATCTTTCCTTGGAATCCAACGTTGGGTGTTCGGTCATGCGTATGGGACCGTTCGGTCCTCGTAAAATTGTTAGCTTTACTTTGTGACTGATTGTTTTTGCGCTGCAACCGGTGATCGACAGTGCGTGCCGGCATACTATACTACGTTTTCCCCCTTCAGGATCTTTATGTTACTTTTTTCATTCCGTCAAATTTTTATTGCTATTGCTATTAGTTAAGGAACATATATCTGAGCATTTCCAAAGCTAGCTTAGTCCTTTCAACTTGTCGGAACTTTCGACAGCAGCTTGATGTGTTTTTCAAGGGCTTCCATCCATGCGGGCACTATTTGTGCTAGCTGTTCGACATGCGGCGGATCGTTTCGAACTGACAGTTCATTTTCGATGCAATACAGTTCAAAGTGTCGACTGCGTTTCGGATACTAATGTTCGTTGCCTTTCATTCCCCCGCCACTCATTACGATGATGGCGGTTATCAACGGCATCTGAGCACTATATATATATATATATATATATATATATATATATATATATATATATATATATATATATATATATATATATATATATATATATATATATATATTGAAACCGTTTACGAATCGACATAGAGCCATCAGAAATCATGGGACTAAAAGAACGTACAGAAATCGTAAAAGAGCACTACCTAAACTTGCTATGGAGAATGGAGGTTGATACTAATCTATCGTGTTGTCAGCCTGTCGTCCCATAGCCTTGAGGCTTGTCTCGTAATCTTACGGCGCGGGTTCATTCCGCGTAAGGGTGGGCGTTCTCGCGGTATACTCAGCCAGTGTGCGCCTGCTGGTGATCGCACGGCATCGAAGCGCCGTTACGGCGTACAGCTGACACATTATTTTAATTATAATTATAATAATAATTATTATTATTAATCTTATTATTCTAAGTAATAATTGTTTGCACCCTAATAGTAGGCAGTAAGACATGGACTAGCACTTCCACCTTACCATTAAATACGGCTGCAAACAACTGTGGGCTTAATTCGCTCTGCCCTTGAAGAATATTGACTAGTTGGCCTCACCCTTTCTTAATCCGCTACCTCGAAGCTTAACGCAGTTTTGTAGATATGCTACATCGAGTGGGTACAAACTTGCACTGTTCATTCATTCATAGATAACTTTTGTCTATCAGGAGGCCTAGTGCAACTCCAAGATGAATTTTACTCGTCACTAACTATGATCCCAGAGTTATCGAGAATACCTGTAGTTTTTTTGTGGATGAGAAGGATTGTGTTTTCGGGGTTGGACAATTTTGTTGCGGACGTTTTCATTACGAAGCTAAGCAACATCCTCAATGCGCGTCTATTGGGGTCTCCCATCTGGTACTATCGCTAACTATCGGAGTTTCGTCGTTGGCCCTGGTGCTGGTAGTCTTTGATTCTTTTTATGGCGCTGAGTACATTCCAACCTGTCTCGTATCTTCGACCACCAAACCTCTGTCTCTGTTGGTGTCTTGCCAAACCTACCTCATCGGCGATGCAACCATCACCTTCATGTAATTTCCATTTCCTTGAAGACATGCTACTCGGTTTAGCGTTGATTGCTGGGATTTAGCTTCATATCCTGTAGCGATGTTTTGCAGGAAACTGCGCCGCAGTGAATTGCCAATTATCCCCTATTTGCGACACATCTGTTCGTTTGTTTACAGTCAATTCCCTAAATTATTGCGCCTCTTTGCATAGTGATTAATTTACTGCTTCGCAGTTCTAACATTCATCGAATTCGTGGAAAACATTTTTTACAGACCTATCAAGTATTCATTAATACCACCAGAAATCGGCATATCTCACTTTTCCATTGTTACTGTGAAGACGTGCCTTTGTAATTAGGATGGATTATTCTGGTGTTGCTCTATCTGATACCAGCAATCCATGATTATAGGTGCTTTCTCTATCCTACTTGTTGTCTAAAACATTCCATGCTGGCACTTTCGTGACTACTTGCACGTTTATCCAAGGGCCTAAATGTCTATGCTTCTTGCCTTCGCACTGAAGTGTTCGACGGAACAAATCCACGCTCACAGTTGTATACTCGCTTGGCCGACTTGGAAGCAGCTTTGTGGACTAGAATGTTCAAGCATCGCTTAGCAGCAGGAGACTACGCTTTGGCACACCAGCTGATTCGCAGCAACCCGGATAGAGCACGGTGCGTTTCTTCCGTGATTCACTTCCTTATTCATCATGGCAATCAAGATGGCATTGCTGATCAACTTGAGGAACTTTTTCACACCTTCTGGTTCTCATCTTTCATATTGACTAATCCGTGTGGATATATGTATCTGCAGCATCGGAAATCGCCTATTTGTTGATTTTTAAAGTTTTGAGCGCCAACTTGCCGGTTTCTCTACACAATATCCCATAAATACTTCTGCGTTACCACCGTCTTTATGACACCTATACTTGCTGGCGCTCTAACCGCCGTTATTTGCTACTCAAGACTTGTGCCCAGTCGGTTTGTGCCGTTTTGCTAGATGCATTTACTACGCTTACGAATACATCCGCCTCCTTATCACATCCTTTATGTGTTCGCCCCAATGAACTCTTAAAGTTCATTTATTTTTGCTGATTTGATAACCCATTCCTCTTCGTCCTTCATCTCAGAAGCAATTTATCGCAATGGCTTTTTTGGTACCACCAATTACGTTGCTCGAGCGGCTTTCATGCACAACATTCTCACTATCTGTTTCAATCAATTCGATCCACCTAAAGTATTGGTCCCATGCAGACACGCGGCATCATACGCCGTTATCCCTTTTTGTCTCCGCCTACAGACGGCGTGACTGTTTACGGCAGTTGATAGTTACGCTATGTGACCGCGGCGAAGCTTCTCAGCTGATTTCTTTACATTACGGGGCGTCCGAAGATGAAGTAAGTGAACTGACCCATTATGCTTTGTTTCCCAATCGCTTTTTCGTGATAGCACGTCCCCACTACCCTTGCTCTTTACGCTACAGTTTCTACTCATATTGGAGGCGCGCGCTCGATCAACTGATGTTCTTCCTGCCTCCATATCATCTTCAGCTGAAGACACTAACTTCAATGTAAACCCGTACTACGACATGCTGTACGCGTTTCACATCGAGCGTGCTAATTATCGTGCTGCAGCTATGATCCTTTACGAGCACGCGCATCGCTTGGCGGAAGAAACAGCCTCATCCGTATTTTCTGTTTCTTCCACTGGTTTTCGAGCCAGTGGGGCACGCCTTCTTTTTGGATTGCAGCGCCAGACTGCTTGTTTAGTGTCGGCCATCAATGCGTTGTACCTCGTACCCGAAGAACATCGCTGGCTTATTCGGCCGTGGTCCAGCGTCTTGGATGGCGTGTGTCCAGCGGTCACAGAGCTTTCAGACGCTATGGATGAAGGCGAAGAACAGGAGGCTTACGTGGATACCCCATTAGAAATTGTAAGCCACTTACTTTCAATCTTTCCTTGCATTTCTGCGAAATATGTGTTCTATAATAAAGATCCACTGGCCGGTCTCCAGGAAATATCTGTTATACGGTGCCTTATTACGCCCCTACCTTGTTGCCGTCCCATGTGTACTCGGCTACTTATCAATTTTGTCGTGATTTATATGAATCGTTGATATTTCATTGCTGCCTCGCGTGCCCGGTCGCGTCACACTCATTTTCAGTATCTTGTCATGGCGTATTATTTGACATACTCTACGGTTCCCCATCTTTATTTTCTCTGGAATCATCCTTCACGTGTTTAGTTATCCTGCCATATTTTCCATTACGATTCTGGCCGTTCTTGCCAGGAGCGTTAGTGAGATCAGAGCGTGCGCATCCGATTCGGATCGGAGCACAATGACCACGATTTACCGACCTCCGGTCTAATAGTTAGCCCATTTCTAACCTACTCGGGGCAACTTGTCACTGCTGTTTGCACTCTTCGGATATCCATTTTAGGAAAGCTCCCGATCACATATTTCCAACACTGTATTCTACCTACAACTTAACAAATTGACTTGTTTGTTCGTCTCTGTCCATTCGGTGAGATATCTAGTTTCCTCTCCTTGAACGATATGCTAACGCTCATTGTGAGCAATTCACAGAATCGCATTGATTGATTAACCTGGAAACCTCTACATTGCTACTTTTAGCGTCGTGTGTGAATTTACCGGAAACTATTTTTCGGTTCCTCCACAACAGGCGAAGTGCGTCATAATGACTCTATCTCTTCATCTCTCTCCGATACTGTAACTAGAGATTAAGCCAGCTAACTGTCTGACAAGCGAGCCATGTAGTTTAGTTAGCGATTAACCCAGTCCATTTATTACACCGCTGCTTTACAGTTAGTCACGAACAGCTCTATGTTCGCGAGCCGGTTCTCGATAGCAAGACCATAATACCTTCTCTAAGTCCCCATTCTATATGAGCATGATAGATTTTATGTTTATCTGACAAAGGTAGGATACATAACGCTGCAATGCGGTCAACATCGTTATGTGGCCGCCGCGTTGAGTCGACTGGCCGTGTTTGATCAGTGGCTCATGCGAAATGTCGCTTCTATATCATGAGAACATCGAGTGACTTCTGCTGAAGTCCTCCAACTTTGGCTCTCATCGAGCCGCGCATTAAAATTGCACTGTCTGCTTTCGCTGGACCATGTTCTTTACAAGCCTATCAACCACCTATGCTGATACACTTTGTCTGCCTTATTTTAAACCACACGATAGTGATTAGGTTGTAACGGGTTATGCATGTAGAAATAGACCAGGGAATTTGGTCAAACTGATTCATGTCGACGTCTTAATTGGGGACTCAGTGTCTCATAGTTCAACGCTCGGGTTTCTACCTAATCTGATTTAGGCGTTGTGTATTTTTAATTTCCTGGGATTACGTGTGAGAGCGTCGGACCCGTTTGCGTTCCGACACACTGCTCACTAGTACACTTTACACTCCGCTATGCACCTGGCGTTTTTCCCGTTCACGCCTCTGCACTCAGTTGCTTACCTCTGTGTGTTATGTTAGGCCAACTAGGAGACGGGCAATATCACCCGCGGCAAACTGATTCATGAACATTCTTCTTGATAGCCATTTGCTATTTATTGACTGAAGTGTGAACACATCGTATCCCAACGGTTGCGCGATAAATTTTCATCGTTCTAAGCTCCTTTTGTTGGTCGTTTTGATTGACGATGAATTACCAGTTCCTAATACTGGTGTTTTAGTACTAGCCGATGTTTATTCAATCAGTCCCACTTACAGTTTCCAGCTCAGATTGCGTTTCTTGCTTCTTTGCTCACTCGTTTTTTGCCAAGCGCGAGCTATGTTTGTGCCTTTGGTACAGTTTTTTTCTGTTAGCAGTTTCTTCTTTGCTATACCGTTTAACGCAGACGCACATGAGCTGCTCATGGCGACGCTTAATCATCACACTGCTCAGCATTCTCTGTTTGACCCACTCTTCTTCCTTCGCTTCAGCTTGTAGAGGATAATTGGGTTTTTGAGGAACCAGGGGAACAGGCCTTTAAATTAGAAGACGGGGCAGACGAAACTGATGGCTTCATTGTTAAGCAGGCTCCTCCTGCTTCCCACGACTCTCGTTTGGCTCGAGTTGCACAGGATAAGCACATTCTGCAACTTCCCGATCTCATCAGATTGTACACGCTGGCTCGTGCCCGTCTTCGCCTAGCGCAGGCATGTTGGGAACAGGGTATGCTTCGAGCCGGCCCTGCATCCCCCGAAGAGATTGTGCAGAGCTTATTAACATTGGCCTTGTACGACGTGAGTCTCGATATTTTTTTATTTCTGAGATTCGCGTTTTTGGTTTAACACGCAACGCAGCAGGATGCCAATGGAAGCCAATTGACTGGATACTTTTTTACTGTGCATCCATCCTAATAGACAGTCGGTCTGCCGCTCCTGTACGATGGTTGGCTTTTGCAAAGTACTAGGTATCACTTGCTTGCTTCATTAAACAATTCACGATTCGCATTTATATCTTGGATTTCGTATGCATTCTAAACTGCAGTCGCATAACTTTTGTATTCTCATTTGCCACATCTTTATTCTGCACATTAGCTAGGGTTGAGAAACATCCCAGCTATTGTGCCTCAGTACACTTCAATCAGTGATGGAGGAAGAAAGAAAACAAAGGCAACAAGTCAAAACAAAATAAAAATCTGTATACACTTTGTTCATATTATTCATAGTTACGCGATCGTGGTTGGAGGAAGAGGCTAAGCGCCATGGAGCGGGATAAAATACACAACAAAGACACCATTGTGATCATTCCTACGACATGTCGACAAGTGTATCCAACCAGACGTGTACCTCATCTTTCGGACCCAAACCAGGAACTTGAGCTGGTCTTCATTTCTCTTGACTAAGTTAACCGCTTGGCATCCACCCGAATCTCGGTCGCGCAAACATTGCACGTCTCGGAAGTCGGTGTGCTGGCATGCGTAACACATGATCCAGCCATCGGAGCCTGGTGCGTGAAGTAACGGTGATGAGCAGTCCACTACCACTTTCAGTGCCATGGACAACGCGCCGAACACACTCATTGTTCACACTTTGCGAAGGCGCTGGTGGTCGAACACAACGCCTCTCTATATCTGAGGGGCTAGGTTTCACCACCGTACAGACGACTACATTGTTGACTCTACGCTTCACAGGGAGTGATGTCGCGCCTACGTTACATGTAGCAAAGATTGACAAAAGCACCTCAAGCTATGCGGTTCGTGATTTCATCTTCGGTGTCACAGCTACTTATACGGCTGTCCAGGTAGTTCGATTTCTGAACGAATTTTATCATATCCCATTAAAAGTCTGCTCAGGGGGGCGGTCCCTGCCAGTTTTAGAGATAGACTTTGCATTTCGTGGGTGTAAATCAAAGCCCGAAACAGCTAACAGCGATTACTAGTCTGTCCAGTGCTGCTTGACACCTTCGTGAGCTGTCACAGATAAGGGCAATATCCTCGGCTTACTCTAACTCAAGTTGTTCACCTGGAAGCAGCTCCACATATTCTAGGCCGTGTGCAATGAACACAATTTCTATGGCTTCGTCGTTGGCGATGAAAAATGAATAGCGGGCATTCCTATCGAACACCGTTGGAGATTGAAGGGTGGTGACAATGTTATAAGCCATTACTATGCTCAAACTGCGCGCTCTGAATTGTTACCCTATTTCTCGGACACGCCTTTCTTGATTAAGCGGTCTCAATCACCGAGTTCGCAGGATTGGGAATGCGCGTATTTCCTTCAACAAGCTGGTTTTGCTGCGCCAGTTGAGATGGCTCGGTCACGTCCTATGCATGGCGCCTGAGCGTTTATCGCACCGCGCTCTATTCACTCGTTCAGGACAGGGCTGGTGGCGATAGCACATGAGATCGCCGACGTCACGTTTAGCCGCCATTGGACCCGTACCTCTTGCTGCATGGGAACCGAATGATTTCGTATGCTAGTAGATCAGCACGCTTCAAGAAATTGTCGGCAACTTTTGTTAATGAAAGGATTGTGTTCATAATTGGATCGATTCACATATTGAATGCCTTAAACATGGGGATAAATAAAAACGGCGAGTGTAAGACCAGCAAGCAATTCACCGAATCGAAGACACCTTTGATATCGAGAAACACAACTAATGTGGATCATGCTTTCCACCTATGATTGAGCATTCAAGCATACCGTTCTGCTAACTTTGTCCATTTCCTATCCCCCCTTGTAGGAAGCTGTTAGAGTTACAGAATTGTTTGACCTAAATCGGGTGCCGATCGTAAACGCTGTGGCTGCCCGGTGTGCCGAATTGGCCCAGTACACGGCTGTCAGTCCTGCCTCAACTACACTCAAAGGCGTTCATTCCAACTTCGGGTTTAGTACAGACAGTTGTATACCCGCTCTTCCTGGTTTGTCTAACGTATCTTCCTACTTGGCCTACGAAGGAGAGCTGGTCATACAGTCTATCAACAATCTCACTGGATCCATCGGCCTTGTTCAACCTTCGACATTATCTCGCCAAGAAGGGAGTGCAGCAACTGGACTGCGGTGAGTTTCAGTTCGCGATATTTTTCTGTTCAATATAAATTCACGTTGGTTCTCTACAATATCCCTGGACTAGTTGCTCAAGGAGCTCCCTTTTACCATCATGATGCACTCACTCATTCCTTATCCTTGTTGTAGAAATCTTGCTCTTGGAGATTTATACTGGCGTCTATTGGAGGTGATTCTCTCCTGCCTTGACCCTTCGACTACGGTTTCAGCGAAGAAGTCAACCTCAGAACAGGCGCATACTTTTTATGGTGGTCACTTGCTGTTACTCGCCTGCCAGCACTTGCTCAGCTCTGGTCCAACTCAGCTTCACTTACCTGAGTGGCTCGTCTCACGACTGCTCTCGGGTACCACACGGACCAGTCGACCAATAGGCTTGCTTCGCCTCTATCTCCAATACGATCGGATTGAGGCCTCTTATCATTTGATCATGGATATACTGGACGCTGCCAGAGGTTCAGGATCAGATCCTTCTGCCTTCGGATTGCAGGTACTTTGTTTTAATCAGTGTGGAAACTATCGAAGCATTGATACGTTCTAAGTCGCTGCGACGAAATTGACCGGACGTATCCGCGACCAGTCCCTCACTTATACTATTTCTCTAACCGTTCTGTCAGTCTTCTACCAGACAAACATGAGTGACGTTGTGCTCACGCATTTGGATAGGAAATTTCTCTTTATACTTAGGTTACGGATACGCAACTCTCCACACTCATCGTGCATCTGCATTCAACACCCCATTTGATGTAGAGTGCTATGTGATCTATGTGACATTTTGGATTATCCTGACGACATTGTCATCATCAACAGTAATACACAAGTAACTCGGACCGATACCTCGCTTCCGTGCAGTCAAAATGGTTTTGGCGATGAAAGTTGCTACGCGGCGAGAGTTTGAATCTCTAATGCCTTAGACAAAGTTTCAGGAGCGAGGCATCTATTCCCTGTGAACAGCAGACGCTCACAGACTTCTGCCTATCAGTCGAAAATAAGGCGACGTCGACGAGATAGCTTCCTTGCAACTTTCACCACCGCGCGTCATAATCAACCATTACGCTGCAGATAACTCAGCATCACACGTGATTTAAACACGCAGTCCGATTAGGGGGCCACGACAAACTCTTCACTGGCATCGACTGTTAACCATGTCCTGTAGTCTTGAGCTACTCACGAGGTGGGTCACGTGGACTCCAGCATGAAAAGCAATACGGATCCACAGCACAGTGATCTGTCATTGGGTTTGCTTTCTGCTAGCTCATGCTACCTGATTGCCATCACTACCGCACTAGTGATGCTACGTCTGCAGTCAAGTCGCCCAAGCCTGGGTCAGTGGGCACTGTAGTAATATATCTGAGGAATTTTGAGCTGTAGTAGTACTGCAGGTCCCGTCATTTACTCTGGGGATGTTAGGAGAAGAGTTAATAACTGCGGGATGGTAGCATCGACATCAGTTACTGTATGCAGTTGATACAGTGACACTTGACACTACGAAGTGTGGCTGAGGTTTACCGATAAATTCATTCATCGTTGTACATTGGCCGGAATATTACCATGGAACCCAAACCTAGTGAGCAGAACGATTAGGGTCTTCAATCAACCCCTGGCCGCAAGGCAGTGAGAGTATGACCGTGATGCGTTTTACGGAATCGGGTGTCATTCCATTTCAAACCTCCCAGCCTGAACACGAAGCGACTGCTCGTCTACTCTGCAACCACTGTCCAATCAGATACGTGTGACGTGAAATAAGTGGCTTATGTGTACTTAGAGAATGAAAAATATGACGTCCACTTCCTTGTGTGTTGCTATTTGCAGCTTTTTCCTTGCATCTCATCCCATATTCGTGTATTGGGCATAGGTTAACTTTGAATGAGACATGAGGACCCGTCTGTCACACAGTCACCTAGTTACGCATTCTTGTTGCACGAACTATCCGATTTTATGCGATGATGTAGAAAGTCAGCCGGTGGCCGGGTAATTCGTGTATCTGCTCCATAGTTCATAGGTCGCCGGTTCGATCCTGCATAGGCGCAGGTGACCTGGTAGCATCCGTAGACTTGCAACTCCGTTGGCTCCTTATTAAATGTGTTGTCCGATTCACATTTGTTCGATGTGACTGATAGCCGAACCAGCTAGTAGCCTAGGATCACTTTTGCATCACTTCGACTCCTTTTGCCATCCCCAGCAGCGCAGCTCTGCCCACAATTGGTACATGACACGTACTCTCTTAATGGGGGTTCGGAAACCTGCTGAAATCGTCAATATCGGTCCAACAGATCCACACCTTGGGCATGCGGATAGTTTTGGGCCTACACTTACTGCTTTTAGTCTAGCGGTTTCATACACTGAAATGTGAACTTACACTTAACGGATGAGAAACGCATTCTTTACCTTTCTTCAACACGCACCTCTCCCTTTTCGCACCCAGTAGATTTCCAGAACAGCCCTGATACCGCTTCTGATACTTTGTTTCCGAGTCGATCTCACCGATCACATCAGGTACTTAGGATCCGTGTTTACACCTAAGGTCTAGCCAGATAAACACCAAATCCTCTACTGGCTTTTTCACAGCCACGTGCTCCGTGTACCGGGTCGGCTGCGTCGGCTTGTGTTGTTCAAAAAACGATCGAAGACCCGAAGTTTGCAGTCAATGACATCGCAGGTGTATGACGAAATTCACTCGGGTTGGTACTTGTCGCTTTCCGGAGTGGGGCCCACGGGACAAGTGGCACAAGTGGTTTTCTGCTCTATCTTATATGAAACACTCACTAGTTCACCGGTGCTCCTGTGTTCGTTTCCGTATTTCCGACCTTTAACTGTCCTATCTGTCGTTTTTATTTCTTGCGCATTACTGTTGTCACTGTTCGTTTGGCTACCCGTATGTCAAAGCAACCGCGTTTTCCGCGCTTCGGTTCACAGATCGTAGTCAATAAGCTGAGATGCACTGGATGACTGTCGAATTTTCTCGCCAGATGATCTGCCATCCACCGGGCTTCTATTTTGCGCCCCATTGATCACAAACTGACGGTTCTTTTAGTTCTGTACCTTCTGGCCATGCTCTTTACAAAAATCCCTGAAACGTCTTAACTTACTCTGCAAACTGTTTGTGATCGCAGTGACGTGCCGTCCTGCTCGTATCCCCTTTGAACCATTATATACGTTACTTTTCTGTCCCTGCGTGTATTTCAGGCATCGTTGGGCGATCCGAAACACAATACTACCTCTTATTGTTCTTTGTTGAACAAGTCAGGTACCCAGCCACTCTTGATACCGCATGTGTTGATCGTCTGTCTGTTGCAAGCGCTCCAGTCATTGTCCACGGAGTTTCCAGCTTTCCAGACGGTGAGCTTTATCTTCTACGCCTCCTATTCCGCATTTAATGCTCTAGCACATATGAATGAGTAAACGCCGATTGAGCATGGTAGACTGTGTCTCCATGGCGACGTGACTTTACTGCTCCGGTTTTCACCAATCTTTCCACTAGGGTTCTTAACTGTTTGATAGATCGTACGCAACGGTGCTTCCACGGATGCGTAGCGTGTTCCTCTTTTCTTTTAGCACTCTCTTTAAGCGTATGCTGATACCAGCACCCTTTCTCGTTGGTTATACCGAGTTACCATCCAAGTTTTCAAGTTCGTTGAAATGTAACAAAACGAGGTCTACCGCTGTATATTGTTCGTGCCATGAGTACCCTCACATTTTTACTGGTTATTCGCGCCCCCTCTCCTGGTCACTAACGCTTCCAGTCATAAGCAGATGGAGGCAGTGAGATACTCCAGCTCACATTCTCGGACAGATCTTCTGCTTTGATAGTGATGCTATACCGGGTCTTCTCGGATATTTAGCCACACAGATACTGGGGCACTTATGGTCCCTCCTAATAGGCATGGTGCTTTCACGTTTTCTAGGTGCTTCCATTCTTGTTGCATCATCAATATTTGACACCCCGTATTCATACTCTGCTGTGTTTCGAAAGACAACAAAACCATCTGCTGGACTATGACACGGTATAGCGACATGAGCCCATGAAATTTCAAATTGCACCATAAGGTCTACCGATGTATTACGTGACAGTGGTCACGTCTACTTATCCCCCTTGTTTAATCACTCAGCATGTCACGCAGACCTTTTTGGTTGAGGACTCAATGGCATCCGCGTTTGTCAGTTCTTCCATCTTTGTGGTGGGCGGGATCATCTTTTTGTGCCGTGTCTATAATCTACTTGATGGCCATCCAACCCCCACTATATAGGCTTGCCTTCACACAATCCCCTGCTGCTGGCATCAACAGCAGACCCCGTCCACTCAACTTACCCTTTAGTCTCCCGTAACTGCGGTGCTCACTCGTCCATGTGTAGCACTGTCACTTGATGATGTTTTGTGGTCCGCTTAATTGTCTTTTAATCACTGAATCCAACTTCCAGCTGGTCTCGGTTTTTGTGGAACACTCCATCAACGGCTTCGCACATCACTCACCGATAATGCGCTCTCGATCCAAAACCACTCAATGAATGTCAGTGAAGTTGCCGCAATCGACGAATTGTTTGACTTTGGAGTTGCTTGATCGCTCAACTATTGCGATCCTCCGTGACAGACATCTTAAGCTGTGTTTGTGGCCTTTTTGCTCCAAACGGTCTCATCGATGTATGAGATGGTCCAGAGGATATTAGGAAACCTGATGTGTTTTTAACTTGTCAAGAAGTTCCATGGTGTGCTTTACGGAGCCACATCAATACAAACCTCGAGTTACTAGAAAGTGTTTTTAGTTCATAGGTATTTTGTCTGGATATTTGTCACAGTTGTGCTCATTCACGATCACTGCACTTTCAGAGAAGTGTTGGGCGATCGTTTCTTTCTTTTTTGGCCTCATCAACTTTGGATGACCGCGAAATTACTCTCTCTTGAGCCACAATCTTTTGGCCAAGTACGTGGGTTTCTAGACAGTGTAGCTGCATCACGCCTCTTGATCCCATTAAAAACAGTCAACCTGTTTTGCTAGGATAATGACCTTAAGGTATGCGTAACTTGTGAAATGGCTAGTTTAAAGTCTTGCACACACTGTAACGCTAATACCTGATGTTAGGCTGTTTGTTCTATTTGATTGATCTGCTGACGGTGGTTAAACATTTCCTCCTTTAACTGTGTGCTAACCGAAAAGGGGTTTGCTTACAGATTTCCCATCGCAGAACGCATAACCTGCTTTTGCTTTTAATCCTGGGTGCAATTAACCAGTTTCACATTGCGGCAAAGCGAACAGCGAATTTGCTTCTTCCGTAATTGACATTAGCTTACTTTCTCGGTGGCAACAATTTTACTTGCTTTTCTTCATATACCATTACTTCGTGCGCCGGTAGTTGATTCGTTCGTATATTATCTGCTTATGCCCATATCCTGTTGTTTTCTCCCCTCACGGACACTCCCTTCTCTACCATAGATTAGGATACTCCTTATGCTGTACTTTCGGATAGCCCTATCGACGGTTTTTAATAATTACTAGCCACCTGCGGTAAACCTTCCTACCATAACCACTTAAATGATCAATGGTTGCTTCCACCGTCAATCTTCTATTTTTGCGCACGTTTACATCAGCTTTCCTTTCTGCATAATCTTTTCGCAGATGCACAACAATTTGTCACAAAATATGACGAAGTACTTTGAGTGCCTCAACGCTTCTTGTCTGAAATTGGCCACCTAATGACTGTATATTTTTGTATATTTCTATGTTTAAACTGTGCTGTTACTGTAGCAAATATATATATGAGATTTGCTACCAAATTCTTCACTTACGTCTAGCAGATGACCTCGGTCTAATGAATCAGCATGCGCGTCGCTTTTTTGCTCCAGTTTGGTCCATCACACCTGCGGGCTCAGATGCGCCATAACTTGCTTATCTCCGTGTCCTCAAAGAATTAAATTCTACTTTTCCCTTGATCCGACAGAGGATGCATCGAAAACATTTGTATGCTTTGACAGGTGCCTTGAACACAGTCATATAAACGGCTCACTGTGGTTGTCTTCCTTGACCACATTCGCATCGGGTCCTCTCCGATGCTGTTGACTCTGCTTTTTCATGAATAGTGCATTGAAGAAGATTCTTCCTGTTCCATTTTCATTGCACTCTGCGGCCCCAGAAATCATCTTAGAGTGTACAGAATTCGTCGTGGCCACTTTTAACCTACATTCTTCGATCCAGTTAATAGCGTTTAACTCTATCCTGCCTACGTTTTTATGATGCGGATTCCACTTATAATTTGTTCTCGATCCTACTCAAGTGCCACTGACTTGATTGGTCAATCTCACTTCGGCATGCGCATCACGCTCGTTAAGCTCATGAAACTATTTCAACACTAAGCTGACACGATACCGCTACTTATCACTGCCATTGAGCAGTCACTTAAATAATGGGTGTTTGTCACCTCTGTAGTCAACTGACCAAATCAAGTACTGTGCGCATCAGTAAGTTTCGTGTGGTTTTCTAGGCCTAAGGCATCTGAATGGGTTAAAGTGCCAGTGCGTCACTCAAGAGCAGGGTGTCTCATTAAGGTCTTGTGGCGATGAACTATCACAGCTGGACTCTAACCGCAAGTACGTATTTCAATTCGTAGCGAATAAGCAAGAAGACGCGTCAGTCTGGCGCACAGTGTACTGAAAATGTGAACACGGAACGTTAGGGTGTGTCCTTGAGTGCGTGTGTGCGTGCTTATCTACGTGTGTGTGTAGGCCAATCAGGTTCACGGTCATAGTGAGCGATCATTGGTTGAACACGTAACATGAACTACTTCCCTATCCGCCATACTCACCAGACCTTGCATCATCTAAATTTCACCTATTTCCAGAGATAAAATTATTTCTGAAGGGAACATGTTCCTCACGATGCGATTCTCCTATCCGAGGTCGGGTAATAGCTTTTGACGCAACAGCCGTATTCCTTTTCGATCCATTTTCTCTCTTATGTGTTGTGGCATTCAGCCAATTGTAATGTTATTAGTAAAGAATATATATGTGCCCCATGCTGAGGCTGATGTAACATTCATGATGCTTCTTCACCGCAGTTGGTCTAAACCAACTTACACTTAAACTAGGTCATCTTAATCTGGACAAAATGCATTCCACTTTATTTGGTTTGTTCTGCCTACCTGAATAATCTTCTATTAACTGGCCACGTTGCTTACGCTAATTGCGCTTATCTTCGGTAACTTTGTTGCGTTTGTACCATTCTTAGTAACTTGTGGACATTTACTTATCGCGGTTTCGGTGGTAACCAATTTACTTCATATGATAATTTAGCGAAGAGTTATGCCACTGTATCCGTATGCATTATTAGATTTATTTTATTTCAGCTTTTCGTTTCAAGTGAATGGCTGTTGCTTGATATCCCCGGTGATGGTTGCGCTTGATGTGTATGTTGACAAGGTGCCTACCTGTCTATTACCCACTACATCGTTCATACTGGCTCCAGGAGACAGTTGGTCGTTGCTGGAGGGGACGGGGTGCACGGTTCTTGTGGCCGTGCTAGGCTCAAAGAGCGGTTCCATGCACTCAGTGTGGAGCGGACTACGGTCCAGCCACCGCCTTGTGTGCGGTTGATTCCCCAAATACAGCGTGCTTGTGTTTGCCTGTGAAGGAGTGTGGGCCGGCTCCGTGATGAAACGTGGTTCCCATCCGCATGCCTCCCGGTCTTATTCCTTCGGGTTTACACTGGATATGGGTATGTGGTTGGAGCTGGGGGTGTTGCAGGCGCAAGCCATCCATGGTCCCTCTGTAGGCGCAGGCGTCCTGTGTA